AATTATAAATAATTTAAACATGTTTTTATGATTTTTCATGTATTGAATAAACAAAAGAAATTTGTTGCAATTTTAAAACAAATGCTTTTATTTTTTTGGCAAGTGTTTTTTTATGTACTCGCCAAAGTTTTGGCGGATGTGTTTAGCGCAAAAGCGCTGGCTAAATGGAGAAGATAAAAGTTGATATATGCATGCTTGGCTTGCTATGGGGCAATTTGTCATCATACCTAAATCTAAAAAAAATGGTATTTAAATATTATAATGGTAAAATGGATTTCTCTAATAATATAAAAGATGGTATTAGAAAAAAAAAGTCTTCAAAAATATTTTTCAGCAACAGATAGAAATTCTTCATCAAGATTAAGCAAACCTCTGATTTCTAAATTTTTAAATGAAATCTCATTATTTAAAAGTGGTTGTGCACTGTTTGATAGTCATCAAAAAGATTTTCGATGATTGTTGAACCAATAAGCGTAGAATCAGAATTTTTTTCTCTTTATTTTTTAAGCATGTAATAATGCCGGGGTTTCCTGTGAAATTCCAGAATTTACAATCCTGAATATTGAGATGAAGGTTTTCCGTGTTTTTGCAAACCCTATCCTTTACTCTTGGTCTTATACTCTTAAAACTATTTAACACTTGTTAAATAGTTTTAAGAGTATATTTGAATTATGTTTTCCTGCCTGCTGGAAGAGGTTTATAGTTCTTATTTTTATAAAATCTGGAGATTGCTTCATGCCAACAATGGCTCAGTTTAGTTACACATTTTCACTCCATATATAGTTTAATTTTGTTTTTTGTCTGGTTAAACCTGTATTTTCACATCTTTATGTTTTCTTATATATATATATATATATATATATATATATATATATATATATATATATATATATATATATATATATATATATATATATATATATATATATATGTATGTATATATATATATATATATATATATGTATGTATGTATGTATATATATATATATATATATATATATATATATATATATATATATATATATATATATATATATATATATATATATATATATATATATATATATATATATATATATGTGAGTGGGTCAGAAGCCAAGGGGTACAAGTGACATTTTCATAGTTTTGAGATACAGCTGTTTAAAGTTAAAGTATTTTTGTTAAATATACTCAGCTGTTGTTATGTTTTTCCAGTAGAAAGCAGCACAGGGCAGAGATTCATTTGTATCCCTTTGCCACCAACAATTTTGTTTGCTTCTTCTATCAAATTCTATACTTAAGTGTGCAAATATATTTAAAAGTTTGCAGCTAAATCTGCTTAATCACATCATCCACTATTTTTTTTTGTACTTGATCATCTACTGTTTCTTTGTTTATACTTGATCATCCACTTTTTCTTGGTTTATACTACATCATCTACTACCTTTTTGTTTATACTGCATTAACCACTATTTCTTGGTTTGTACTGCATCATCTACTATCTTTTGGTTTATACTGCATCAACCCTTATTTCTTGGTTTAATAATAAATTAATACCTGCATTAGGGTGGTTCTAAAAACAACATTTTTTGAGAATTTCTGATGGCACCCCCTAAATGTATTCTATGTAATAAATTAATAATACATTTAAAAAATTTTTGAATAAAAGTTTTAGGGGTCGCTCAAGACCCTTAAACATCAGACGGGTCCCTAATATTTTGAAAAAAAAAAGTTCTTTAAAAGCACATCATGTTGGGTCTCAAAAGAATTGAAATTTTATAAAACATCCAAAAACAATCAGAAAAAATCAGAAAACAAGATTCAAAGGGATTCCAATGTACTCTGCAAGTTGAGCCCAGTTAAAGAATAATATTAAAGAAAAAAGATAAAAGAAAAGTAAATTATTTTGAACTGTAACCATTTATAATGGTGTTTATGTAAATAGTTATTTATGAATAAAAAAAATAAAAAATAAAAAATCATTTATAAATACATACTAATTGTTTAAAAAATAATATTTTTTTATAAATACCTTTATATCATTTATATTAAATATATAAAGTAACTAGTATTAATTTATAACTAGCAGGAGTGTACTTAGTAAGTACGTGAAAAGTAACTGATACAGTAGTAGTGTAGTGATTGTCTTTATGTAGTAGCATATGTGCTTGCCTTTATGTAAGCAAGAAATTCTGAGTTTGACTCCCACCATATCCCTGATATTATTGCCCTGTACTTGTTTATCCACACAGTGGCCTTATTCATCAAGGCTCATGTTTTGAAGTAAATGAAGCTCATGTTTTGGAGTAAACAAGGCTTATATTTTGAAGTAAACAAGGCTCTGTTTAGGAGTTAACAAGGCTCATGCTTTGGAGTTTTAGAGGATTAAGAGAGGAATGTAGCAAATTATTTTTTTTAAAAAAAGAGTTATTTACTTAACTGTAGCAGCTCCTTCAGCCTGATTTGTTTTCTTTTTTAATGCTCTTAAAAAAAGAAAACTAGCATTATGTTTCCCCAGTCAACTGATCAAAATCAAAAGAAATAGAGTTAAGGAAAATTTATCTTCAGAAACCATGAAGATTATGTGATGTTATTACAGGGGATGAGTTGTGGTTTTATTTGAGATAAGTTGGACACAAGTCAGTTAATGCTAGTTGAGTAGGTGAAGGTGAAAGTCCAAAAACTATAGAAAAAGACAACAGGTTTAAGCCAAAAAACATTTTCTTCATCTTCAAAACAATAGGTGTTGTTCATTTGGGTTAAGTTGAAAAGAGGGACACCATTGCTAGTCAATATTATGTAAAAAGTTGTTTGAAATATGTTATACATGATATAAATAAGCAAATACCACTCAAAATTTTAAATTGCTTCATGATAGCTCTTGACCTCATATAATTCAAACTGTCACAAAGTGTTTTAAACAAGCCAGAATAATTTCCCACCCACCAACTTTGCCAAACTTAGCTCTATCTGATTTTTGGCTATTCAAAAAAAATCTAGACTCAAGTCAAAAAAACCGCATAACCACAATAAAAAAACCATATAACCAAACTACTTTAACTTAAATCCAAAGTGCAAAAAAATGTTGGACAAATGGTTTGAAAGGATGCAACTTTTTTATAAAAAATTTAAAGAAGTTAAAACTTAAAACATTATTTTTAGATAAATCAAATTTCAGAAATAAATTTGGTCTGTCTTCAAAAAAATATGTAATTATAAAATTACAAAAGTTATGTTTCTAATTAAAAGCAAATTTACATCATTTTAAGAATTGAGAAATGAAGAACAAGAAGAATATATGAAGATATGAGAAAGCAAAAAGAAAAGAAAAGTGGTTAAGTAATAAATATTTTCACGAAAAATTCTTTTCATTGAAACAAGTATCCAATGACAATAAAGAATGTAAAATATTGTTGAAAGAATGTTTTACAATGTCAATATGGACTCTTTAAATTTACACCATAACAAGATATATAATGCAAAGTTATATGTTATATAATACATGCAAAATATATGATACAGAAATAAAAACAAAATTCCTTTTAATTTTAATTTCTAATTTTAATTTAGTGTCGCAATATTTAAATTTTGTTTGTTTTTTCTACAATATATTGGCTTTAGTTAAAACTTGAATCTGATATACACTGTTAAAAAATTCACTGTAGATTCAACAGAGAATGTCCGGCAGCAAAGTGACAGCACTTTCTTCAGAAAAATTAATGGTTTCCATAGCTTCTATTTTCCGTAAAAATCAATGAAAAAAGTCCGTTAAAAAATATACAGAACTTTCTTTGTAAAATTCACGGTTTCTGTATTTCATTTTTTCCATACAAATTAACAGAGAAAATCAGTGAAAAATTTTTTTCGATTTAACTTCTTAACTTTTTTAGGATTCATTTTTGTGATACATCTACATAATAATTAGATCAGATTAATAAATCATTATTTACAGTTATAAAAAAAAGAAAAGAAACTCATGTTGAAAATATTTAAAAATATATGTAGAGCAAGCATGCAGAGACTACAGTTGCAGATAATCAGGATGCAGAGATATAAAAGAAAGTGTAGATTAGAAGTAGATAAAGTTAGAGAATACATTGCAGGTAATATGAAAAAGCTATGGATTTTTATAGATTTTTTATAAACAAGTATGAAAGTATATTAGTATATAAGTATATCAGCTGGCAGCTTTTCAAGGGAACTTTGAAAATATCTATCCAATTGTCCAGCCACACACCAAGGCCCGTGAAGACGAGTTCACCTCACTAAAGAACATCATAACCCCTTTACAGACCAAGAGTAAGTGATTTTTAGAAGAATGAAGGATATTAGAGAGAAAGTTAAAAGAAGTTAAGTTGGAATGTTGGCATAGAGACAGTGGACAGAGTTGCACTAGATGTTAGAATGTGCAACTTGTGTTCAATATCAAGTGTATATAATAGGAACCCTTGTTACATATAAAGTTTTACATAATTTACATAAATTTTATTATATATATATATATATATATATATATATATATATATATATATATATATATATATATATATATATATATATATATATATATATATATATATATATATATATATATATATATATATATATATATATATATATATATATATATATATATATATATAATTAGATTGAAAGTCGAATAAATTGAAACATTTTAAAATCTTTTTCATCAGAAATTTTAAAAATGAATAATTGTTTATATTTTCCTACCCTCTTCACCCACCTTCTTCTTTGTCTTTAGGCTGTCAGTTCGTCAGTCATTTTTGAATTTTTATACAAAGAAGAGTAATTAGTAATAAAATGTTCCATTGACAAATGTAAAATTCATTTAATAAATAAAATCATATTTAATTGAGTATTAAAAATTCATATTTAATTGATTTAACCTTTAAGTTTTGCATTTTTTTATATATCTTCTTATACATATTTATATATCTTACTTATGACAAAATGTGAAGTAAATCTTTTAAAAAACTGAGATTTTCTTACTTTTTTATTAGATTACGCATGAAAGCTGTCAAACTTATCCTACATCTTTAATGAGGGGTTTTATTTCTGAAGGTACTATTTTTTATGTGTGAAGGGTTTTATTTCTGAAGGTATTTTTTTATGTGTGGTATTTTTGTTTTTTACAGTTGTATAACATTAAAAGTAACCAAATAAAGAACTAAAAAAATTTAAAAAAAAAGAAAACCTTAATACTAAATGTAGTAAATATTATTGTCAATTATTTGGAAATGAAGTTACAAAAAACATTTATATAAAAAATGAATAGAACTCTGCTTATAATTTAAATAGCCGTAATACAATTAAAAACAATGTGCAATAACTTAATGTTAATAAAACTTTATGTGTTAGTGTTCCTTTTGTACTTAAAGTTTCTAAATTATTTTATGGAATGATTATCTGCTTGGTTAACAAAATTCATTTATAATAAATGCAAGATTGTATAAAAAAAATGTTAACTACTTATGTATTGCTTGTTTATGATGTAAACAGTGATCACATATAGTAACTGTGAACATGTGGTATGTTAGACTACATATGACACTGAGCACAATAACATATATTGCGCAAAATGATTTTTTAAAAAAAAATTATATTATATTTTCTTCAATATATTAGGTTTTTTTAAATATATTATGACTTAATTAGAATAAGCAAAAAGAATATATATTCATAAGCAAGAAATTATTTTAAGAAAAAATTTAATGAAAACTGGAATCAAAAGGAAAATATTCTTAAAAATTATGATAAAAATGTTGCTAGTTCACAGAATACTAGATTAAGCAATAAAATCTATGCAAAGTACCTTCAATAATGAAGCCACGATAGGTATAAAAAGTGCCCATAAAACAATGAAATATGTCATAAACAAACTTTTTAAAATAGTTCCCATAGACAGAACAAAAAGAATAAAAAGTGCCCATAAAATGATGAACAATGCCATAAACCAACTTTTAATGTTTTTTACTTAATTAATATTTAGGTCCATATTTGATCTTTAAATGTGAATATATATATATATATATATATATATATATATATATATATATATATATATATATATATATATATATATATATATATATATATATATATATATATATATATATATATATATATATATACCAGGTATACCGGTATGAAATGAGCGTTTTTTGTGAAAATAAAACACTAATTATTAATGGGAAAGTATAAAACATTTTATTCAAAGTATTGGCCATTTTTTTCTACACATTTTGACCACCTTTCTGGCAATTTGTGGATACCACGCCAATAAAATTGTTCGTTTTTTAAAGCAAACCAACCAGACACCCAATTTTCGACCTCCTCGTAGGAATCAAAGTGCTGCTCAGCCAATGCGTGTCCCATCGATGAAAACAAATGGTAGTTGGAAGGAGCCAAGTCTGGTGAATACGGCGGGTGGGGTAGCAGCTCCCAGCCAAGTGTTTTGATTGTATCCTGAACCGGTTTTGCTTTGTGTGCAGGTGCATTGTCATGGACCAAAATTACCTTGCCGTGTCTTCTGGCCCATTCTGGTCGTTTCTCGATCAATGCATGGTTCAAATTGATCATTTGTTGTCGGTAGCGATCAGTATTGACGGTTTCACCAGGTTTTAGGAGCTCGTGGAACACCACACCTTTCTGGTCCCACCAAACACACAGCATTGTCTTCTTGCCGAATCGATCTGGTTTTGCAGTCGATGTTGATGGTTGTCCCGGATTAACCCATGATTTTTTCCGTTTAGGATTCTTAAAATAAATTCATTTTTCATCGCCAGTAACAATCCAATGCAAAACCGATTTTCTTTTGTGTCTTCGAAGCAAAATTTCACAAGTGTTTTTTCGGTTTTCCATCTGTCTTTCATTCAATTCATGTGGCACCCATTTTCCACACTTTTGGATCTTTCCCATAGCTTCTAAACGGTCAGAAATTGTTTGTTGTGCAACATTTAACATTTCTGCTATTTGCTTTTGACTCAAAGTGTCATCTCCATCCAATATCGTTTGCAATTCGGCGTCTTCAAACTTTTTTGGTGGTCTTCCACGTTCTTCATTTCTCACATCAAAATCATTATTTCTGAACCGTTGAAACCATCTTTTGCATGTTGCTTCTGATAGAGCATGATCACCATATGCCTCGACAAGCATTCGATGCGACTCTGCAGCACTTTTCTTCAAATGAAAACAAAAAATTAATGGTTTCCGCAAATCATCACTTTCCGGTACAAAATTCGACATTTTTAACACGATGAAAAAATATGATGTTGTCTGTTCAATGACTTGATGTATACTAAATATGTTTCACAGATGTCATAGCAAACAAACAAAAAAAAATAAAGGCTCGTTCACAACAAATGTTCCCTATCGAGACATTTGTATCTTGACGCTCACTTCATACCGGTATACCTGGTATATATATATATAAATTAAACTATGGCTGATGAAAAAACTGATTATGCAGTCTGTAAACTATGTTTTAGTGATTTAAAATACAATTTAGTTGGTTTTCAAGCACTTTATCAACGTTCTACAAAACCTAAACATAAATTAGTTTCTGATATTAGATTTTCAAAAATAGCTCATCATTTATATGTAGAATAAAATGAAAATTCTATCAGAGGAGAGAAAGGAGTACAATTATAGTATTCTATAAATGATAAAATTTTAGCTGCAGAGGCTATGTAGTTGTTTAGAGTAGCTGAAAATGATCTTGCTTTAAGACATTATGATAATACATCATTATTATTTCAAAGAATGTCTTCAGATAGATATAGTATATCAAGGTTTTAGTATGAGTAGACAAAAAGCTTCATATGTATTTCAAGATGGCCTTGGACCTTAGTTAGAGAAATGCTTGTGTTCTAGTAATCAATAAGTTAAGGTACTTTTACTTTGATCTTTAATAAAACAACTACAGCACAGCAAAAAAGACTTCTAGATCTTTATATGAATCTTCTAGATCTTTTAATATCATTTATGATGCATTTTCTTAAACCTTCTGCCGTTAATGGTAAACTTTCCAAAGATTTTTTAAAAATTGATTCTTCTGTTGAAAATTGAACTCTCCACCTTGATTTAAATAAAATGGATTTTGGTCAGGTAGCTGAAATCCAAGTACTTTGTTTTTTAATATTTTGTTACTTATCTTATTTTAGAGTAAATACAAACTAATGTTTGTTGGATTAGATATTGAATTATTAAATTCAATAACTAATCCAAAAAATTAAATCTTTTCTAGATTTTTTATAAAAAAAGGTATTAATTATTTCTGACTGATGAGCTTCAAAAATAAATATGTAATTTTTAGGTAAAAAAAATTTAATGTGAAAAAAAAAAAGAAATATCTGCTCACAGCAAATCAAAGATGGATTTTTATCCATTGTAAAATACTCTCGAAAAAACTTCCTCTTGATTTGCAGGTATTAAAAGATTTGGCTTGTTTGCTTGACAAGGAATATGGAAAAACTAAGTATCTATATCTCAGTAAAGTTATTAAGAGTTGTTCAACTATTCAGAATGGAAACACTAGTGAAGAACGAAGTTTATTAGATAATAAAAATATATTGACTTCAGAGCAAGTAAAACTAAATGATGAAACATTAATGGCTCTGAGAAAATCAAAAGAATACACAAGAAGTTGCAATGGAGCATATATTTTTGATTCTCTCTCTCTCTAAAGACGTTGCTCAAACATATATAAAAAATGAATAAATTATATTCTTAAGCAAGAACTTATTGACAAAAAAAACAACACAAGGAAATGCTTGAAAAAGTTCAAAAAAACAATAAAAACCTAGATCAAAGGGAAAGAATCTTTAAAATGATGAAGAAAATGCAGATCTATAAAAAATATCATCAAGAAAACATGATAGGTATAAAGCCCATGAAAACAACAGTGTAATGGTCAACAGTGCAAAAAAAAAATCTTGAAAATGCTACAGTATTAAGAAATGAACAAAAAAAGTTAAGAATAAATATTATAAGTAAATATTGGTTTGAAACGAAAAAGTGAAATAGATAGTTTAATTAATCGTTTAAAAAAAATTAAATTAGTTTTTTTAAAAAAAATTGTTGTGAATTAATTGTTTAATTATTTTGAATCTTATTTGGTGTTGCAAGTTATTTGCTGTTTGCTTCTTTTAATTTATTTTATATTATTTTAGACATTTTTGATGACTTCTGATTTATTTTGTTTTTAAAAAAAGTTAAGCTTTTCATTTTTTTAATGAAATTTGTAATTTTTTGCCATTTTCCCCCTCAAAATACTGTCATTTTTTATAAAGTTGTTGCTTAACAGCCTGAAATAGTATAAAAATTTCAGAAATAATCATCATTTTATAGAAAAACATCATTTTTAGTTTGAAAACGTCATTTTTTGTTTACTAAATCATAAAATAGTTATTTAATTATAAAATGATTCATACTTTTAAAATTTTTATATAATTTCGCTTCATTAGAAACCCAACACAACATACTTTTGAAAACCCTTTTTTTTGATAATATTATATGATTAAAAAAAGTTGTTTTTAGAAGCACCCTAATATATATATATATATATATATATATATATATATATATATATATATATATATATATATATATATATATATATATATATATATATATATTAGGGTGCATCAAATCCCCCATACTTTCAAAAATTAATCTGTCCCTATTTTTAAAACTTTCTATTGGTACTTACAAGACACTCTGTTAAATTTTTTTAAAATTGAATGAGATTTAGGGGGGCCACCAATCTGAAACTTGCGACGAGACCCTAAACAGAAGAAAAAAAAGTTTTTCAAATGTATGTCATGTTGGGTCTCAAAAAAAGCGAAACTTAATAAAAATTTTAGAAATAGTTATGATTTTTTGTTAAAAATACCTTGAAAAAAAATTGCGACCAAAAACCATGAAAAAATGGCTTTTTTTAATTTTTGCTAAAGAATAATTTTTATGCAATAAAACTTATAATAATAAATATTATGTTAAACTTTTATTGTTTATATATTGTATATATACACACACTCAATATGTGATCACTATTTACATCATAAACAAGCAATACATTAGTACTTCAAAATTATATATATATATATATATATATATATATATATATATATATATATATATATATATATATATATATATATATATATATATATATATATATATATATATATATATATATATAACAGTATATTTATACACACACATTGATAACTGCAAAATCTTGAAATCAGCATTCATAAAATTAGCAGTTTTATGAATGTTAATTTCAAATTTCTAATCTTAAATCTTTTTTATTGTTATAAATGTTGATTATAAATATTTATATGAAACAATAGAGTTTTATATACAATAGCATGGTTTAAAAAAAAGAGATTTTTTTTTTAATTAATTCATATTCAACAAAGCTAAAACATTAAAATAAAGATATTGAGCTAAACTTGTTTATAAATAATGTTGACTGATTTGTTATTCATGTTATAACTCTCGTCTTTTGTGCTTCTAGGTGCTAATATTATTCTTCAAAGGATAATGGTTCAACGACAACAAATTCCAGAAAATGCAATGTTTACTGCATTAGATTCAAACATAAATCTAGCAGTAATGAAATATGTATGTAGCTTTTTCATCTTTATTTTAACTAAGTTGTCAGCTAACCACACATTATAAAATACTAAGTAAATGTGTCATTGTAGTAATGTCTAAAGGTTCCAGCAATTTTTTAGCACTAATTTTTTATACTAATTCACTTTCAAAAAGGCTGCAAGCAACAATTATTAAGTTGGGAAAACAAAGAATTGCATTAAAGAGCAAGGAAATGGTTGACAGAAGATTTGAAAAGTTAAAGGTTGTATTAGTCAGGAAAAGATGACAATTGGAAAGAGTTTCAAAGCATTATAGTGCAGGAAAAAAACTAGATGAATAAAAGTTTTTAGAGCATGAAAGAACTGATACAATAAAAGGATACAACTTTACTGAATGATGAATTAAGCAAGAATGAGTTTTGGTTAAAGGAACTAGAGACAATAGCACATTTTAGCAGCAGCCAGTATTTCTAAAAGGTGTGCAACTTTATGAAAATGAGAGAGGTTCAAGCTTAGCAGATAGAGCAGGTCTAAATAAAATTAGTTATGCGTTTTTAGACCTTGTCTAGAAGAGAAAGAGAATCATTAGAAGAGCCTGCCCAAATATGAAAACAGTGTTCTGTTGTCATTTTCTAGGGCAACAAATAAGAAATTTGTAGAAGTAGAGAATTAAATTATTAATATGATAATGGCAAGCATATAGATGTAACTTAAGCAGGTAGATGCTAACTTTTGAATGTATTGTATATATGGTTTAAAGATGTAAAGAAGAAGATAAGACTTAGTGAGAGGGTTGCCATTTATTATAATAGGAATGTCGACAATATTGCAATAGTTGTTTGCAATAAATAACTGAGTTTTGTTAAAGTTGAAATTAAAAAGCCACTGCAAGTTTCAAGTTGTTACAGAAGAGAGATCCAATTCAAGATCAGTTGCCTGTTCTAAGCGATCGAAAAGAGAAGACTTTTTGTCAAGACATAAGTATAAAGTTGAGTCTTCAGTAAAATGAGCCATTTACTATCTTCTTTCTTCTACAATAAGGTAAACTAAAAGTGAACTGTTTTCAAAATTTAAAGTAAAGTTATTCAATTATTAAAATAATCTACATCTGATATTAATAGTTGATTTAATTTTTCATTGTTTAAGTCTTTGTCTACTGATTTTATAGTTTTGTGAGAATTGTATATGTTTTTTGACTTCGCAATAAAAAAAATTTCATAAGTATTGTTTTGATCATTGCCATTGGTGTTCAAATAGATATTTTGAGGGGTGTTGTTGTCACAATTATTTGTTTTCAGAGAAAAAGGTGTTCATAGATTTAGGAAGGAGTTAACTTGTCAGATGATATCAAGGGGATGTATCAAGGGGAAAAATTCCAGTTTTGGCAAATGATTTTGCTAAATGAGCTGGCTTAAAAGAGGTATCATAAAATTTTTTTAGATAGAAAAACAGATTTCCCAACCACCTTCAGCCTTGACTCGGTGTACTAATTAGCCAGAATTTCATGCTATACATATTTAACCTAAAGAAAGACTCCCACATCAAGTGGCTGTAGCAGATGCAAACAGTGTGCTTGCAAACACAAAATAGTTATATAATTTTCAATTGCTTTTTTAACAGTTTCTAAAGAAATATGACTCATATGACCATCAAAAATAAGCAATTAGCCAAATTAGGTGCATATGTTTGAAGGTTTACCTACTGAGAATTAAATGTGATACTAAATTAAGCGAATATGTTTTCTTTCGAGGTTTTTTTTTTTAATGCCGTTTCTTGGCATTATTTCAATATATTATATTTCTGAAATAAATTTCAAGAAAATTTCTACAGCAAACATTAGTAATTACAAAGTATATTTACAGTTCTACTTAAAAGATTTGATGAAAAAACATAACAAAAAGACTAATTCACTTTACCCCCATTAGACAGAAAAATGAGGGGTAAAGTGAAATAAATTGATTTACAAACTAAAAACTTAGCTGTTTTATATCTTGATAAAAACTACAATTTTTGTAAAGCAGCATCTTCAAAATGTATATAAATAATGTAACTGATGTTCACATTAACAACAACAAATCTTAAATTTAGTAAATCCTTCAATTTAGTAAATCTCAAAGTTTGATAATTTAATTTTAAAACTTCCGCAAAACTCGTTTTTTAAAATGGCTTTTACATCAAAACAAAAGCTATATTTTAAATTTAATTTTTTTTGAAAAATTTTAAAATGTTGTATAAAGCAAAAATAATGCTAAATTACTTAAAAAAAAGGTTTTTTAAACATGATAAATTTTTAATATAAAAAAATTGTTCACTTTACTCCTAGTTCACTTTACCACAGTTTTTACCCACATTTATCTTCTACAAATATATTAAACTTAATTTTTAAACATAATTTTAATTTTTTTTTTAAATTACTCTATTTAATAAATATACAGTATTTATTGACTTTATTTATATTTGTTAAGTTATTTTATTAAGTAACAAGCTTAAAATTTTTGTTTTCCATTTATGATGGAGTCTTTAAGGTTTTTTATATTTAGTAATCTTAAATGTTCTAATAAATATATATTTTTAATAAATATTAATTTAACAAGCTAAAACTTCCTAATTCTTCAATATCGATTGATGATGGAGTCTTTGATATTTTTGGCATTAAGCGTGAAGTTACATCTCAAAAGTTACCTCTAATGACTTGGACAACATATTTTTTATCAGATGGGTAAGTTTTAACTCTTTTATTTTTTTTAAATTTGTTCTAGTTAATATTTTTTATTTTTACATAATAGTGTCAGTCATTAATTTGTCATTTTTCACAGTAAAATAGCATATAGTGTCAGTGTTTATACTGTCAGTCTTTAATGTGTTATTTTTAGTCAAAATAGGGGATCGTTTCCAAAATACATCTTTGAATGAATTTCAGTTAGTATCTTCTGTTTAAATGCAGCAACTGTTGTTAATATTTACAGCTGATGCCCCATCATTGAAATAATGTCAACTGCATTTATTTAGTGGGTTCTACAAATCACAGACAGTGCATTCCTCAAAAAAAGTTCACAAATCACGGTTCTAAATGATTTTCTTTTTTTTTAGAGAAATGGTTAGTAGAGAAGCACTTGGCTCATCTGTTCGTATGCAACTTCTTAAATTTCCAAAGGAAAATGTTGGTATAAAAAAGTCTATTTGTAAGGTTGTTTAAATATACATTCAAAGAATAAGTTGTTTAATGCCATTTTAAAATAAATTGTTTAGTTTTTTTGTCAAGGTAAAAAAAATTTTTCGCAGAAAGAGGCACAATATGATTTTAACTTAATATGATAGTTACAGGAAGAGGCACAATATGGTAGTTAGTTTTTATGGTAATTGCAAAAAAAGGCACAATATGATAGTAAGTTTTAAAAAGATGGAATAAAATATAAAATGTTCATGGTAAATATAAAAAAAACTATTCATTGTTGGGTAGATAGATTTCACTTAAAAAGTGGTTGTTAAAGTAAGATGATGAAGATAATGATAATGATGATGATGATTTTGTTTTTAAATTATGTTGTTTCTTTACTTCTAAAAATGGTGTGTATGTTATTCTAAATTTTTGTATTTTTTTTGTGTAGAAAGACGGACTCCTTCTAGAAAAGATCTTATGTGGGAAGAAGATATGCAGTTGCAATCCCATTTTATAGAAAGAAAGGTTGTTTTTAATTTTCTTTATTTATTATATTATGTCTATTATTTATTCTTATTATTTTTTATTTCTATTTTTTATTAAGGAATATCCAGTGTAAGTTGATATGTATATGAGTCATATGAAGCTGAATCCATCACAATTCCATTATACTTTGAATATTTCATAAACAGAAATTTGATATATACATACATATAGAAAATTTTTTATATATAAAAGGCATTTTTTTTCAAAAAAAAAGAAAATCACCTTCCTAAAGCCCAGAGGAAAATACCATATTAAAGTGTTAAAGTCATCCTCGAAAGCCCAACAGTCTTCAGTAACTTCTGGTGTACTGCAAAGTTTTTTCTTTAGTCCTGTTTTTTTTTCTTAATGATCTTCCTGACTATCTTACATCTAAAGTAGTTCTATTTGCTGATGGACTTTGCACTCCTGTCTTGAAAAAAAGGTCGATTGCTTAAAACAGGCCACCGATCTTGAATCTGGTTTCACTTTTGTGAGGTCATAGGGTTTGTAATGGCTAGTGAATTTCAACTCTAACAAAACTCAAAAAAAGTTATTTACTACAAGCAACCATCACAATATTGTTGACATTTTTATATTGATAAATAGCAACCCTTTTACTGAGTTTTCTACTTTACATCTTGGATTATTGTTCACTACTGACCTCTCATGGAGACAATATATACAATCCATTGCAAAGTTAGCATCTGCTAAGGTTCTTTTTATCCTACTCATCATCTACTTAATCATTCCATTCTCTACCTCTGCATATCTCTTATTTGTTCTTGTATAGAATAGTGTTTTCATATTTAGGCTGTTCTTCTAATGATGCTTTTTCTCTTGTTGAGTAGGTCTAAAAACATATTTATTAATTTAGTTTGACCTGCTCTATCTGCTATGCTTGAACTTCCCATTGTAATAATGTTGCATCACTTTCTCTTTTCTACAAATACTGGTTGCTTAAACAAGCTATCATCCCTAGTTCCTTTAACAAAAAATCATCAATCACTTGCTTAATTTGTCATTCAGCAATATTGTATCTTTTCACTGTACCTGTCCATTTATGCTCTTAAAACTTTTATTTATCTAGTTTTTTTCCTCTCACATCAATGCTTTGGAACACCTTCAATCTTTATGTTTTCCTGAATTTTACAACCTTCAACTTTTCAAGTTATCTGTCAACCGTTTCCTTGCTGCTTCTAAAAAAAAAGAACTCTATTCTTTTTTTTTAAGTAACTCCCAACTTGATTAGTGGTTGCTTGTTGTATTGTTGGGAGTTATGCTGTTTATCGGTAACCAGGCACACAGGTATCTGCTAGTTGATTGCTGCCCGGTAGCATTATCAAATGATGGGTAACGGTCATTTGATAAGTTATTTTATACATATCAAACAAAGGTTACCCATTATTTGATAAGTTCTAAATTCTAAATCAAAATTCTTATTAGGGGTCTTCCATAATAACCCTCCCCTAATAACCACCCCTGTACACATTCCATGCATACAGGGGGAGTTTAAAGACATCAAGTATGTAAACAGATATACTTCTCATTCTCTATCTCACTCCTAAAACTTGATTTCTTTTTTTTTATTAACACCAGCATTGAATTTCACGAGTTTAAAAAATCAACATGTAATGTAACATAGTAATATCGAGTTAACTTGAAGTGTTTTGGTTTTCCTTTGAAAAGTTTATGCATCAGGAAAGGAGAGACGTGGGGGTCATTTTGTAATAAATAATTTAAAACATAGAAGTAGAAAAATATAGTTATTTTAAAGTTCATTCAAAGTAATCGAAGTTTCAGTTAAGCATGTGGTAGTGGTGTAGTGGTAAGAGCGCTCGCTTTGTAAGCAAGAGGTTTGGAGTTCGACTCCCACCATGTCTCTGGAAGTACCACGCTCAACTTAAATTCTCCGCGCAACGACCTGGCTTGTTAAGGTTCGTGTTTCGGAGTTAAAGAGTTGAGAGAAGGTTGTACCACGATTTACAACAAAAATGAAAAAAACAAAAAAAAACAAGTAGCCTCCTCGACTATAGTGGCCCCCTTGGGCCTTGGGGAGGTGAATAATTAAAAAAAAAAAAAAAAAAAAAAGCATTATTATATTTAAAATTATATTTAAAATATTTTTAGTTTCTAAAATTATATTTAAAATATTTTTAGTTTCCTTTATAAAAAAGTATAGATCTTGTTCAAAAAAAACTTTTTTTAAAAGAAACTTTTTACTAAAAATTTTATTCTTAAGAACTAGTATGTTATAAGAAAATGGCATCAACATATAACAAATAAACATTTTGTAAAAGCTTTTGTTATTTCTACTTAATAGTTTACTTTTAAAATAGTTGCATTGTAAACATATTTAAAATTTAAGAAATTACATGATTGAATGAAAAAGTTTTATTGACTGTTTACAATTACAATTTTTTTTAAAAAAAGATTTTTTTCATAAGGTGCCCGATTACCCAACCGATCATTTAACGGGTACCCAGGCAGGCATTTTTGTGATTTTTGATAGCCCATGTTGGGAGTGAATTAATTTTTAAAAAAAAGTTATAGTAAAAAAAATTTTATATTGTTATATCTCTATTCAATAGGGTGTATTGAAAAACAACTTTTTTTTGAATTTGAAATTGTAATAGAGCTGAAAAGTTCCATAATGCTATAAAAAGTTTTCTATATATTTTTTTTTCTTACAAAATTTTTCTATATTTTACCAATTTTTTCTATGTTTTTTTTTTCTTACAAAAACAAGTTTTTTTACAAAATAAAATAATAAATTCTATGCGTATACTAGAGTTGTGATAGAATTTAAACATTGCACAATGACTAAGTTAGAAATGGCTACAATTTTTAAGAAAATATCTTAATGTCTTCAGTTGCCGCTAGAGGGCTGAGTTTTTATGAAAAAACACTGTTTCATGAGTTTCTGGCAAACAGGCTCTGCAGTCCATAATGCACAATTAAAGTTTTAGTAGAGTGAAAAATGTTTTTGAAAAATGTTTAAAGTATAGCTGTAATAAACTATCTGATTCATTTGGATCTGTTCAAACTGTCTTTGTGTTGAATAAAGGCTTTATTTTTCTCAATGGAAGTCTTGCACAAATGAAGCCGTCTTTACTAGTCAAACTGCAACCTTGATCTGAAGCTTCGATTACAGTTTGAAGCATCTCTCTATTTCTTGAGTATGGCATGGAAAATGCTGCACATCTAGAAAATTAACATTTGTTAACATTTCAATTAGATTTTTATCTGAAATGTAAGTGTTAATCAGAGGTTCATTTAGTTTACATTTTTTCCAATCAATTAGGCCTATATCAGGAATTATCTTTTTCTGGATATTTCCAGAATTCCGAATATTTCTATAAATTTTTATTTATTCTGGATATCCATATAGTTTTCTGGAAATAGATCAATGCTTTTAAATATAATCGTTTATATTTAAAACATATAATAACCGAATAGAAATAACAATAAGTAAGAATAAGTAAGCACTTTATAAGTCTAACTTATATTTGATTTATTTTAAAAACAAAATTATTATTAGTGCTATCGATATAAGTAAATTTAAAAATTATGATACAAGTTTTACTGGTAAAATCCTAAAACCAAAATAACAAATTTTAATTTTTTATTTGGATTTAATAAGAAAATAGTACAAATAAATTAGATTTCACTTTAAATGGAAATAAAATATTTTAATGGAAATAAAAATAAAACAAAGTAGAAAAGCGGTATTCTTCGTTTAATTACAATTTTTATTTTGTTAAAAATCTCCAGTTGAACTAAAATGCAAACATATTTTCAAGCGAAAAACTCTAATCTAATTATAAAATTGTTTAAAATTTGTTTAAAAAATTCTGCAGTAAGTACATTTATTATTCAAACCAGATATTTTACAACAAAAAATATTAAGTTTATATTAACTTTTAACCGGAAGTACGATGGCAAAATAATAAATGTTTTTTTTTGTTAATATTTCAATAAATAAATTGATTTGCTAATTTTAATTAACATAAAACTTATTTTATAATTTAAATACATACAAACATTTTTTAATAATCTAGGTGAATAGAAAAAAGCAATTGCTTTTACTCACCATTTTTCGAGTAATTGCTCAGCTTTGCATAAATAAAATTTTTACAGATTTTGCTGAAATTTTTATTCATGTAGAGCTGAGCAATTACTCCAATTTGTCTCGGCTCTTGGAATCCCTGTAATAATAAACGCGTAAAAATAAGAAAAAATTATTTCTACAAATAATCCCTCACCTACATAAAATATAGCATAAAATAGTTGATGAACAATACTTTTACTGTTTTAATTATTTGATGATAAAAAAAATAATTAAAAAAAAAAATCGATAGCACTAATTTTAATTTTTTTTTTTAAATAAATCAAATATAAGTCAGACTTATAAAGCATTTACTTATTCAGACTACTCATTGTTATTTTTATTCAGTTATTATATGTTTTAAATATAAATGATTATATTTAAAAGCATTGATCTACATGAAAAATTGATCTACATCAAAAAGGAAAACCCAAACAAAACGTTTATAACTTGAGTTAAAGTTATTTGAAAGAGCTTTTTTGCTTGACGCCATTTATTAAAGGATTTTTATTCCCGGATTTTTACGGAAATGTTTTGAAAATGTTTTTCCGGATTTTTTCTGGATATTATTAGCAAAACTTTTCCGGATATTTTAAATATGACCAGGGTAATCAATGCTATAAAGTCTTTGCTTCAAAATTGATTTCTGGTATAGAGAACATTCAAACTTTGTTTGTTTTCATCGATTTTGCTTTCATTATTTGTTGTAATGCCAATTTCCTCACATTTGGGTGAGTATCCAATATTATAGCAAAAAGGATGTTTTCTGGATGCGCAAAAAAAGCATTCTTTTGTATAACAGGAACAATATAACTGGCATACTTAGATAAATTGATGGTTAGCCATAAATGTCTAGCACCTTCCATGCATGAGGGATTACATCTTATATTAAACC